TTTCCTGCTCCCCATGGCTCACTGTTGAGCCTCCTCAGTGCATCCACGTGAGAGCTAACAAAGTCACTGACTATTAATAAACAGACACTAATTGCAATTTACAAAGCCACAGGTGTGGGAAATTAAACTTTAATTGCCATTTTCACCTGTGTGTCACTTTGTCTGTAACAAGGCCAAACATTCAATGGTCTGTGGGGTTTTTCAAATAATCATGTAATAAAAAACCTGCAGGGACAAACACTGTCATTGAAAATGTTTGTCCACAAATAATGTTTAAAAAAAGCTCTGAAAATCTTTGACGTAAATGCCAAAAATGTAATTGTAATGAAGCTTTCGTTGTTAATTTTTATATATGATAGAAAACATTGTCCTCGTGAAATTAGGGTGATTTCTTTTTGTGTGTAATATTGTGATATTCAAGCCTTTATCTAGGGCTTTTGATCATGGACTATTAGCATTAAGTCTTGATCTTTTTTTCCTCAGCAGGGCTTTTAATGTCTTGAAAAACCATGAAAATGCTTCGTGAGACATATTGAAAAAGGGTTAAAATGGTATGGTACTCTACTGCTTATTATCAACCGTGTCGTAGGAGGTATTTGATCATACTTGAGCCAAAAGAGATTCCTAGTGAGTAAAAGCTGCCACAGTATCAAATGAAAGTAGGGTGGACACACTAACTGAAACACAAGAGAAACAAATTGCAATAAATCACGTTTTGTGAAGCTTACAATGTTAATAATTTCTGATGGGTGTGTCAACAACATGCTGATTCAGGTCTATAGTAACGTTTGAGGCTATTGTTTGTATTAGACTACAGTGTTTTGTGTTCTTTTTTATGTTTCCACTCCTTATATTAGGGAGTTTATTTTATTCACAGTCAAGTCATTTCAGTTTGTGGCACCTGTTTCTCCATCAAACATGGGCTATTGTCCTTTCATTTGTTAATATGTCAGATCATCCATCAATCGTATTGACTCTTGTGGCTGGATTTTGATGAAGCTTGGGAAATTAATGTAACTCACCACTTCAATACAGCATTTTCAAACATGGACCAATACAACAGGGGAGTGGTTTGGGGAGGGGACTTTGTTTGTCTGTGTGGTACATTACAGATCGCATCAGGACAAAGCTTGAGGCAATTATGCATCTCACTGCTGTGTTCAGCCATTTTCAAAATTATATAGATTAGAGCAGCTACTATTAGAGGTTAGAACAAAATGACACATCAAGCTTCATTGTGTATGGAGCCTAGCAACGTTTAATGCTGACTTCATTTTACAAGCTTAAACCAGAAAGGGCCAGGCTACCTTTTAATACTAACCTTTTCCCAATCAGGGGGAACTGGTATCCCAGAAGGTCCCTCTGCAGTTACCAGGGGATGGGTGGAAAGATTGTTGAATAGCTCAGCCAATTTGAAACAAGAGTGAGAGTCTACAGCCACAATAGCTGCTCTGTGAGTCTATACTTAGGCACAGCTGTGCTTTGATCTAAATGCTAATGTGAGCGTGCTATCATGCTCATAATGACTGTGCTAACATCCTGATGTTTAACAGGTATAATATTTACAATGTTCACCATCTCAATTTAGCTTGTTAGCATGCTAACATTTGCTAATTAGCTCTAAACACAAAGTACAGCTGAGGCCAAAGGGAATGTCTTTAGAATTGCAAGTATACCAGTTAAAATTTCAGAGGGTGGTTGGGGGGTGTGGGGCATTAATGTATGGAGAAAATTTCATGGCTTTCCATCCACTTGTCTAAACAATTCACTTTAACAATTTACTTAAAAACCAAAAATGTCAACCTAATGGTTGAAACATCCCATTGGGAACATGACTACTGTACATAATGCTATGGTTATCCATATACACTGCTAGCATGGCTAAAAATAGAAATAATGATTTGGTTAAAACCATTTGTGTTTCTGAGGTATATTAACTAGAGCCCGACCGATATGGGTTTTTGAGGGCCGATGCCGATATTAAAGTGAAAAAGAGCCGATTTATGTGCCGATATTTAGATTTAGAGAATGATTTGGATAGTAGACCCCTTTATTGTATAAACTACACTTAGAACAGGCCGATACTGAAAGCTGGTATGTATGTATGTGGGCTATAAAACCTAAATGGATTATGTTAATAAAAACAGTCTCAAAAAGTGAACATGTAAACAATTGCAAATCAATAAATATTTGTTGCTGGAATGTGCAACTTTTTCAGTCATCTGTAAACGGAGACAGTGAGAGAGAATAAGCATGTGCATTTCACTTTACACATAATCTGCCATAATTTCAATGTAGCATATTCACATCTAGTTTATCCCTTTACCAGCACTCTTCTAACCAAAGCTACAAGAAACCATTTCTCATCTGTCTAAATCATGCCGTCTATGATACAGTGAGCTGCTGTTGAATGCATCAACATGACTCTCTACAAGGAGGACCTGGAACTTTGAGATTTCATTTAACTAACGTTATAACTATAACCAGAGTAGGGCTGGGGCGATTCGTCGACGCGACGCTGCATCCAGTTTGGGATTATCCCGGGCAAGCTCCAGCTACAAGACCGCGCCTTCGACCGTCTAAAGTTTGGAGTATTTCAGACAGACACTCAACAACGTGCTGCTCGGTGAGCTCTGTGAACTGCTAGCGTCACTGCAGCACAACTGCTGTCCACGAATACGTGAAGCAGGAACACGTTAAACGAAAGTATCCCAGAGCACTTTGTCTAGACAGCAGCATCGCAAATCGTGTTTACTTTCTGTCGCCACACAAGCACGGCACATTATCAGCACGAGGACATGTAGTATTTCTTCATTGCCTTCATGTTAAGTCATTTCTGCCCCGCTGCTGTCATGCTAACGTAACGTCACAGCGCGAGTCATGTAACGACCGGCTGTTTCATATTTTCTGTTTATTTAACGGCTACGTATGAGTGAGAAAACAGCTGAATCTAATTACAGACAATCTGTGACTGTCTGGACAGTCTGTGAGTCCTTTCAGGTGTTCACTGATTCAGAAATGCATTTGATTGTCATACTGCATTCCTTAATATTAAAATGAATCCATGTCAGAAACATTTAAAGTTTTTAGTAAAGTAGCCCAATTAATGTCTGTTATTGTTATCACAACACATCAGTGAAGTGGAAATTTGATTCATTTTAAGATTTGCTGCTATTGTCATTATTCTAATGTGCTTCATCAGTATGATTGAATAAAATATAGATTTTTTGATTAGACATGTTTTTGATATTTATTTTGGATAAATTGGTATGTTAATCAAGTAATGGGCAACTTTTCTTTCTTTAGAATAAACAAAATTAGTCGTTAGATTAATCGACTTGTAAAATAATCCATATGTTACGGCTCTGACAGCTTTTCACATCTACAACGTCACAAAAATAACCTCAGCTACAGGAAGTCGTGTTATTTTCTCGTTCAGCTCACGTTTATTTACATGTCCACTCTGGTTTAATAATTTCAGGCAAACTAACTGCAGACAGGCAGCTCACAGTTAAAATAGGTCAAACTATAGTTTAACGGCTCATTACGACGTTGGCGCTCCTCCACTGATAAACATGGCATTAGCTTTGTGGCTAATTTAGCAATGGGCAGCGTTAGCTGCTGTAACGTTAAGTGATTTTAGAGAATATTTAGAAGTGACGAATAAATCTACAGTTACGTCTGCCAGCAGCTTCCAACACCCAGCTACCGTGACATTGACCTGCTGTGAGCTGCTAGGAAGCCGGGGGAGTGCGGTGAAAAACGGGAGGGTTAGCAAGTCATGAATGTTTTCAGGAGAGGAGAAGTGACTGGGTCTGTTTTTATTATAATTATTTAAGTCACGTAATTAACTTGACAAAAGACTGACCAACCGCTAACACAGCCCTCTGCTGTTTCTAAATGCTGCTGTAAACTCAGGTAAACTCTGGTCAGCTGATTGTTTTTTTTGTTTTTTTTTTTCTTTATGTGGTTTTTGTGGGGAGGCAGTGTTGTTAACAGGGGAGCTGCAGCTGGTCACCCTCTGGTGGGCAAACTATGCAACACCCATGACATGACTGAAGGATCTGACTGTTTCTTTTTAAAGTCATATATCTGCCGTTATAAACGGCTGATGACAAATAAGTGCAATTAGCTCATATCAGCTGATAATATTGGCCGGCCGATAAATCGGCAACACATGAAGACCACATGCTGTGACTTGAGTGTGAAAAGTGAGCAAAGAACAGAAAATGGAAGTGTTAATAGTACAAATACAAACTTTGTCAAGCCAAGTTAACCTTAACAAATGTACACTTCACTAAGATATCACCATTGCAGGTTAAAGAATATGGTCAATGATAAGGATACTTGAGCTCATCAAAAGTGTGCCTGGTACATCAGACTAAAAAAGGTTAGGAACCACTGAGCTATATACTATGTGAATTTAGACTAACAGCATTGTAGAACTTAAAAAAAACTTAATTTGGCAGTTATTCACTTAGTATCAAGACAAAATTTCAGGCTATTTCTAATTCATTAGAGCTGCTCAAGGTTTGGTTGTTTGGTCTCACTGCTCAGTCACTATCTGCAAACCTAAAGTCAGAGAATAATTCATAAAATTCGAGGGTGGGAATAAACTGCACTGTGCTATGTTTACAGGTATTTGTGGAATCTTCACATACTCAAAGATCGTCATAGTGTGATATCTGTGCTGTTTTTAAAAAAATGTATTTTATCTGAGTCATTTCTGCCCTCAAAATTTTCCTCAACTTTCATGTATCCCTTTTTTTTGTAAAGTGAAATTATGAAATTTAAAAAATGCATCCTTGCAATCCTTTTTTTTTTTTCGTTACACAAAGGTTCACACCGTCACAACATCAGACAAAACCAATTAACCCAAAAGACCAGACCAATAGAATGGGGTGCACAAATGACACACTGAGAAAAGAGGATTAAAATGTTCATTGTGTACATAATTGCTCTAGTTGGCAAAATGTCAATGCTCTTCTCAATTCCAACAGACAAAATCTGGAATTGCTTTGCTGTACAATGAGGAGACCAACAATACCTATGACGTCTGCCTGAAATTGACCAAAGAGGTATTAACCATACAGAAGCTGGATGTGGTTTGCACAAGTGGAAGTGAATCCCAAGTAAATGTAAGTGCGCCTGAGGGCTTGAGACTTGCAATGTAATTTGTGCCGCATAACTTCAGAATACTATTTCAATGTTCACAATATCTTTTTGCCAATAAGAAACTCCCACTTTCTAAAGCACAGAACTGTTGTACTACGAAGACAGGCAACTGGCGGTCTGGGCTTAAGCATCAAAGTAAGCAGATAAGTTTTGATTATAGATAGACTAAAGTGGAAATGAAAAGGCTTTGAGTTGCAGAGATGACTGTTTGTGTGAGAAAACAGTTCTGGCAGCAGATTTTTACTGAAACTCAATAATCACTCCCATCTTTCTCTCCTGGTTTACAGGGAGGTGCAGAGCACAACGTGCCTGTGGTTATTTCAAAGATTTTCAAAGATCAAGTAGGTAAGAACGTATTTTTTTTTATTACAGCAATGTAGATTTAGAAATGGTTTTCAATGTGATATTAAAGAGAAAATCAAAGAGAAAACTTGTCAAAACAGTAATGGTCAATCATTTTTAACGTGTAATTTTGCTTTCTTTCCAAGAAGTTGAGATGAGAATTTTAATAACAATCATGTCTTAACCTGAAAGGGGAACTCCAGTGATTTATTGTTGCATTGCAAGGTGGGGAAATTTGTGAGGGACTGAACGGTCTAAAATCAGAGCAGCAGAGCCTACTTTTCCCATAATGCAATTCAAAAGCGTCTTCCATTTGATCCTCCTTTCCTGGTAAATACTCATTTCTTTAAAACCCAAGATTGTAACACAGAGTTTCTGTTATAAGTTGGCTAAGCAGTACTCTTTATGATGGCTGTGATGGTTCTCTGTCATCCAGATCATAGTTATCCAGGGAAGGGTAAAATTAAGGTCAACTGGACTTAGTTGAAGACACTAGATAACGTTTCGTCCCTCATCCAAGAGACTTCTTCAATTCTGACTGACTGCTGGGACATCACTGAACAGGACCAAAACATCACTCTCCTACCTGCTGATAAAGGAAGATGTAAGGTGGTCCTGAACACAGCGGACTACCAGGCCCATGTCAACACACTACTCATGGATTAGGGATGCAGTGATTACCAGATTTCACTTTTAAAGCACGGCTTTAAAACGTCACAGTTAATTAATCCTAAGGTCTCCGAGGGTTTCTGTTGCAGGAAAAGGAACTGTTGCAACTTGCACAAAACGAAAACAAAAAGTTACACAAAATGACATACTTAGCAAATGTAAGTCGCTTTGGATAAAAGTGTGAATACCTACATCAAATTTGATGCAGCACCTGCAGGATCACCACCCAGCTTTGCACGCCCAAGTAAAGGTAATACATAATAACAGAATTAAAAAGAACTTGGGCGCTGAAGCCAGCTTCCAGCACAGCGCATATCACTTATTTTCTGGAAAGATCTTTATGGAAGACAGAATGTAATCCTCTCAAGACCTTCAGTCACTGAACATTTAACATTACATCCTGTTGCCTCCTCCTGTCTGTGTTGAGAAAATCTTAGGCTTTGTATGTTAATATGCCAGGTATAAAACACTAACAAAACATCAGGAGCGCTAACTTCCAGGACTACCAATTACCTGCATTTCAGTCATTAATAACACTGCATGAGAGAGGTTCTCAATTTCATCATTTTCACTGAAACTCATTTGTATGGATGAGAGTTGATGACAATAACGGTTCAGTTTATTTCCCCTGGGGGATAAATAAAGTTAAAATTTGTCAGTATTATTGACATTTGATTCTTAATGTAATTAAATATTAAAAATTAAATTAATAAAGTTAAATTAATGAATGCATAATAATCGTGAAACTGTGATTATTCCTCTGACAATAATCGTACCAACAAAATCTATAATCGTTGCATGCCTACTCATGGAAACAAACACATTTGAGACACTGAGACGAGACCCAACCAGCGGATATAAGAAAAAGGCCTGTGAACAATATTACCATTTGTATCCTGGAGAAGCCACTCCATGTACAGGTGCTGGTCATAAAATTAGAATATCATCAAAAAGTTGATTTTATTTCAGTAATTCCATTCAAAAAGTGAAACTTGAATATTATATTCTTTCATTACACACAGACTGATTTCAAATGTTTATTTCATTTAATTGTGATGATTAAACTGACAACTGTATGATAAAACTGACAACTAATGAAAATCCCAAATTCAGTATCTCCGAAAATTAGAATATTACTTAAGACCAATGCAAAAAAAGGATTTTTAGAAATGTTCAGGTTGCTCTGATAGTGGCCTTCAGCTCTTCTGCGTTGTTGGGTCTGGCGTATCGCATATTCCTCTTCACAATACCCCATAGATTTTCTATAGGGTTAAAGTCAGGCGAGTTTGCTGGCCAATTAAGAACAGGGATACCATGGTCCTTAAACCAGGTACTGGTAGCTTTAGCACTGTGTGCAGGTGCCAAGTCCTGTTGGAAAATGAAATCTGCATCTCCATAAAGTTGGTCAGCAGCAGGAAGCATGAAGTGCTCACCTCAGACCTCAGAAAACACATTGGACCAACACCAGCAGATGACACGGCACCCCAAACCATTACTGACTGTGGAAACTTTACGCTGGACTTCAAGCAACGTGGATTCTGTGCCTCTCCTCTCTTCCTCCAGACTCTGGGACCTTGATTTCCAAAGGAAATGTAAAATTTACTTTTATCAGAGAACATAACTTTGGACCGCTCAGCAGCAGTCCAGTCCTTTTTGTCTTTAGCCCAGGCGAGACGCCTTTGACACGGTGTCTTGTTCAAGAGTGACTTGACACAAGGAATGCGACAGCTGAAACCCATGTCTTGCATACGTCTGTGCGTGGTGGTTCTTGAAGCACTGACTCCAGCTGCAGTCCACATTTTTGAATGGGTTTTGTTTCACAATCCTCTCCAGGGTGCGGTTATCCCTATTGCTTGTACACTTTTTTCTACCACATCTTTTCCTTCCCTTCGCCTCTCTGTTAATGTGCTTGGACACAGAGCTCTGTGAACAGCCAGCCTCTTTAGCAATGACCTTTTGTGTCTTGCCCTCCTTGTGCAAGATGTCAATGGTCGTCTTTTGGGCAGCTGTCAAGTCAGCGGTCTTCCCCATGATTGTGTAGCCTACAGAACTAGACTGAGAGACCATTTAAAGGCCTTTGCAGGTGTTTTGAGTTAATTAGCTGATTAGAGTGTGGCACCAGGTGTCTTCAATATTGAACCTTTTCACAATATTAGAGATACTGATTTTGGGGTTTTCATTAGTTGTTATAATCATCACAATTAAAAGGAATGAACACTTGAAATATATCAGTCTGTGTGGAATGAATGTATACATTATACAAGTTTCACTTTTTGAATGGAATTACTGAAATAAATCAACGTTTTGATATTCTAATTATATGACCAGCACCTGTATATATGGACTGCCAAAGATACACAAAGAAGGAACCCCACTCAGGCCATTATCAGCAGTATCAACTCAGTCATCTACAACATTGCCAAACAGATATCTACAGTGCTAGCCCCTGTGGTTGGCATACCACTTCACCATATCCAAAACACTGTTGACTTTGTGAACAAAGTTCCCAGATGAAACCATGGTGTCCTATGATGTGACTTCCTTGTTCACATGTATCCCCACCATGGAGGCAGTAGAAACCGTAAGGACACGACTGCTAACAGAACTAGCCTTAACCCTGACCAGATCTCTAAACTTCTGGACCTTTGTCTAAACACCACCTATTTCCAGTACAACGGAGGATTCTACAGGCCAAAGCATGGCTGTGCCATGGGCTCACCAGTATCCCCTGTTATGGCCAACATTTACATGAAAGAAGTGAAAAACAAAGCCTTGAACTCCTTCAGAGGAACAGCACTGAGCCACTTGTACAGGTATGGGGTCATGGGTCAAAATAAACCCAGGAAGTACAAGCCTTCCCAAAACACATCAACTCTGTGGACAGTAACATCAAGTTCACACAAGATGATGTCAACAACAAAAGTCTGGCCTTCCTGGACTGTGCTGTACACATTAAAGAGGACTGGAGCCTGCACATTGAAATATATAGGAAACCCACACACACTGACAAAAACCTACTTTTCGATTCCCATCACCCACAGAGTATAAGCTAGGGGTCATCAGAACCCTGCACCACTGAGCTGACAACATACCAGAGAAGGAACAGAACCACCTGAAGCACTTGCAGCTGGTGGATACCCTAAATGAACCTTTGTGAAAACAGACACGAGATCCAGGAAGAACACCAACACTACAGGGGATAGGGAAAAGAATGTATATAGTTATTTGAACCCAAACCATGATCTTTTCCAAACCTTTACCAAGTACTTTTGTTGCCTAAACCTAACCAAGTAGTTTTTGTGCCTAAACCTTACCAAATTGCAATGTTTCACAACTTTAATAACGTGCCGTTTCAAAATGGCGATGTTTTGAAATGCTAGGGTTTTATTTTGAAAGTGTAACCGGACATTGCATATGTAACTACCGGACGTTGCATAGTTGTTGCTAACTTGACCACGGAGCCTTAAACATCTAAAAATGACGCTAAAGGTGTACCCAGGGCATTAAAAAGCGATGCTAAAGGGCCTTGACCAATGCGTCAATATGTGACAAGTCTGGAGTGAGAATGTGTTGGTCTAATGCAGTGAGGAATACTCAGAACTGTATATTTAGAAGAAACCAAACTACTGAACAAACGCATGGCTCAACACAGAAGGGCTAACTCATTAGGTCAAGACTCAACAGTTTACCTACATCTGAAGGTTAAAGGACACTTGTTTGAGGACTGCCAGGTGCACATTTTAGACAAAGAGGATAACTGGTTTGATAGAGGTGTCAAGGAAGCCATTTACACCCGGGTTGAGCAGCCGTCGCTTAACAGGGAAGGGGCTCTGCGACACCGCTTGTCCCCCACTTACAATGCTGTCCTTTCATCCCTTCCCAGGAAATGAAACAAATGTTCACGTTTAGCTTCAAGTAGATGCCAACGATGGTCGTTCAGACTTGACCTTAACGACCATAACAACTGTCATTACAACATCAGTCATCTTGGCATATGACTCCACAGAAGTTAAATAGCTGAGTTTCCCTAACGGTCTCTCAGAACTGAAGAAGTCCCTTGTGTGAGGGATGAAAGCACATTTTATGTTGCCATTGGTGACCATAAATCTGTGAAGATCACCATGAGATGGAGCCCCCCAGGTTTTGATTCGACAGCTACTAGTCAACTTGTAAATGCTCCCTCTAGGCCAAAAAATTACAATATTGTTGCTTTATCACAGCTACGCAGATGACACTATGTCAATATGCCGGCTCACTGCGCTGTATGAAAGGTACGGAGCTCAAAAGGGAGGTCAGATTTACTTGGAAAGTTGTTAGTAACAGAGACGGAACGATGTCTGTGTGAAAAGCCACAGCTGGCATTCTGGTGTTGTTTTACATAACAGCCTTTTTCTGTAACGCTGCTGGTTATGGAAAGCCGGATTGGCAAGTGAAAGCAAATGCAGTATATTGACGGATATGTGCCTTTATGAAAGTACCAAACCTTGCAATTTTATTGACACCACGAGGCTACACAAAGTGGTCAGCTGTTGTTTGCCAAGAAATAGTCTTAGCACCTAACCCCCTTAAAGAAATGATTACATTACAGTAGGAGTTTGAAAACCATTTGATAGTGGCCTTTTATTTCCCTTAAGTAGCTATAATAAATAATAAATACTGCAAATAATTCACAATAAATATATGTAAAATATTCAAAGCCAAGGAATGTTTTTGACGGCTGCATCATTCCAAATGGAAATATTCTAAATGTGTTGTGCATCATTTTATACACATTTCCCCAAAATTGAGCCTTAGGTTTTTGGACTTTGGAAAGTCTGTAATCTTCAGTAGAATTTAAAAAATATTGTTCTGTGGATTTAAATGGATTTAACTCTGCAGCATGGGTTTGTAATGACAGGTCCACCGGTGGGCCAGTGAGGTGTAATTCAACAAACGGGACACATGTTTGTGTTTGTGTCTAAGTTACCTTTAGAGATGTTGGCTAGACTAGGCCAAATAATGTCCTGACTCCATGACGTGAGATTGGTATCAATCCTCTCTTCCAGCTCTCAGAAAGATAGCAAAACTGTTGATTTTGCTTTAAAATCAGTTTCATTGGTTGGGCTGTTTATGTACACCTACTAGACACTAAGTAAAAGATACACTGTTTTCAAGGAGGTAACATAGTTTGCACTAAAACACTAGAAAGGGGAAATAAAATATACACATTTACATATACAGCATTTATTGTTAATTTGGTGTACAGAATATTTCCTGAGCTTGCCTCTAAATAAGGAAGTAAGGAGAAACTCTATGAAGGAGTTAACAGTGGCCAGATTGGACAAGTAATTGGCTAGATGCTATTGGCTAGATGAAAGAGAAATACTTAAATTATGTTAGTCAGTTAAATTGTAAGAACTGGTGACCTCTCAGTATCCTGTTAGGATGCAATATCACAGTGTCATGCGAGTGAATCACTTCTCTGTAATTTTTCTTTTGCGCACATCACTCTTAATACCTTTTTGCATAAGAGACAATCATGTCTTCATATCCCCGAGGATGTTAAGAGCCCTTTTCACAGAGCTTTACAGATCTTTCACAAACAGAGCATTCATTGTTTCCTCCCGTGCCGCTGCAAATGAGTTTATATCCTGATTAGTTTCAAATTTCATGCTTTCCTGTGTTTTTTCTCGTAAGCTGTAGGATGTTGCCAGAGATTAGTCAGACGGAGACACTGATTGCTCTTTGCACCACATTACCATGTATGAAATGAGCAATTATTTTCTAATGTTTTCATTAACCTCTGACACTTGACAATTTACGCCTGCAGCCGATCAGACGGGGAAGCTGTTCGTCGGGGACGCTGTGTTGCAGGTTGGTACATCAGTTCGTGACTTATTTGCTTCAAGGTTGAGTCGGGTTATTGCCAAGAGTGGCAACTTGTTACATCTAAATTTCAGCCCTCACAATTTCATTTAGGAAAAACAAAGATAATATTTTTGCATGATTTTGATGAAATGAGACTTTTAATGTCTCTATGGTCTTTTGAAGAGTTTAATATTGTGGTCAGATATATTCTTGCTCAATCATAACACACAATTTCAATTTAACTAAACAAATACGTCATTGTCAGATTCTGTGGTGGACTAATCATGAGGTCACCAACAAATAATAGTGTCTGTCAATTAGAATAATCATCAAAACCCAGAAGTGTCTAGTATTTTTAGTAATGATATTCATTTAATCTTTTAAAAAGTTAATTTGAATCTGTCTGGCAGGTTTATTGGATTTGCTGTTTATCTAGAATATCAAGTAGGTTCATTGGACAGCCAAGCAATATTAACATTCATATTGGCTGTTATTATGAATTATATTATGAAGAGATTTGCAATTGCTTCCACCTTTGGAGCACCACTGTTTCATATTTATTTGTGACTGGTGGTTGTATTGTGTCTGTTTGTGGTCATTTTATGTCTCTTTGTGGTGTGATGATTTGATGTCTCTGTGGTGTGATCTTTTTGCGTCTCTTTGGTTTGGTCGTTTTAAGTCTCTGTGATGTGGTCGTTTTGCGTCTCCGTGGTGTATTTTTTTTTTTTTTGCTTTTCTTTGTGGTCATTTTGTGTCCTGGTGTGGTCGTTTTGCAATTTATATTTTGTGGTGTGGTCATTTTGTCTCTCTTATGGTGTTGTCTTTTTGTGTCTCTTTTGGTGTGGTGGTTTTATGTCTATTTGTGGTGTGGTGGTTTTGTGTCTTGTAGTGGTGGTTTTGCATCTCTATGTGGTTGTCTTTTCACAACAAGACATGTAAAGTCACATCATACAGATGGTCCGTCCAGGAGCCCTGGACTAGGCTTTTTCGGTAACCCATCCATGATATTAACAAGCCACCTACCTATTACTTTTGGACCCTGGTAGAAGGAGTACCAGGGGTTGCCAATCCCTCTTGATCAGCTAAATTACAGTGTAAGCTGCTGGGGAAGCAGTCTGTAGGGACTTGGCTTGGAAACTGGAGGGTGGTGCGTGTAAAATTTTTAAATTAATTTTGAGTAATGAAATAATTCTTATTTTAAATTGCACACTTTGTCCACTATGTATTTACTTATGTGCCTTTCCACTCTTTGTTGTATTTTTTTTTTAGGTCAATGGAATAAATGTAGAACCTTGTACTCACGAGGAAGTTGTGAGTATACTTGTAATTAACTGTTTGTAAAAAGCCTATACCCAGCCGCATCAGCCATTGCTGTTCCATCCTTCTCCCAGGTTTAATACCAAATCCCAGTGGTTATCAACACAGAGGTGTGCCTGAACAATCGGAGTTGTCATGCTGGCAGGAGACTGTTTTCCTTTTGATTTACACTGTGACAAATTGAAAAGTTTGAAAATGAGTAGATTGGTATCAGAAGCTGCACAGGAATTGAGGGCGCTAATATTTGGAAGCATTTTTATGCATGGACTTTTTTTTTTTGGGTCAGTTTCTCTCCAATTTAGCGTCTGTCTTTGTTAAATATTTTCTTTATTCTCTGCCACCATCCCCCATCTCCCACACAAACACAAACAAGCTTCCCATGTCTGTCATCTCTGTCTCCTCGTGCAGGCCCAAACAGCTGTTCACTACATTCACCTCCAGAGCATCAAAACACATAATGAGCAGTTTCCCTTCTGAACAAAATCCAGACTTTTTAATGGCAGGCTGTCACACACAGATAGTCGGAAGGCTACTTCAGGGATACCACACAATGTTTGAGTAGATAGTGAGAGATCTGATAGCAGATGTGCATTTAGGGTTTGTAGAAGTGACCTTGCATATTAGATGTGACAGTCAAGTCTCTCATTTGTGCTTTTATTTGCTCTCTTTTCCAAGATGCATAGAAGATAGAAAGATTTAATATTTTATCATTTAAACCTAACCTTATTTGAATACCTTTTTGAAACTATGACTTGACATCATTGAGGACACATTTTACATCACTTAGACATCAGATAATCAGACACTCAGAACGTAATTACTTTATGGTGTCAGCTGTCACTGTGCTGCTGCCTGTTATGAGAGAATTACCTTTTAATGATTTAAGTGAAGCCACTACTGTCAGGCTTTAACGTATGATTACATATTCTTCACTCATCTCCTGTTATATTTTGTTTGCTCAGGCTGTATACAGCTTGACATAAATGGCTTGTTTCATTTATACGAGATAAGATTTTATCTGATGCATCGCTCCCAATCGCGCTCTCTCTTGCTATCTATCTCAATCTCCCTCTCCCTGTCTTTCTCCTGTCAGGTTCACCTCTTGCGCACTGCAGGAGATGAGGTCACCATAACTGTTCGGTACCTGCGAGAAGTTCCATCATTTCTAAAACTGCCTTTAGGTAAGAGTCCTGTAGATTTAATGCCATGCAAGCTCACAATAAACTCTATTTCATTGAGTTTTAAAGCAGTTCAGTAGAAGAGCATTTATTTCAAAGTAATAAATTGTCATGCTCAGTGGCCTGAGGCAAGCAGTAATGTCAGAAACACCCAGAGCTGCAGTCCCCCTGCTCCTGTAGTTACCTTCAGCAGCTTGAAGAGATGAAAACACAGACTCTAAAATCATCCATGTGGAGCTGGTAAAAGGTGAGAAATGAGGTATGCAGGTGAGAGAGGGCAGGAAATGAGAACTTGAAGCAGCTCTAAAGACAAAAGGTAAACTAGAAATTTGGGCAATTTTATAGAGCACTGTTTAAAGTAAGTGGGACTACTTCGTGTTATTTTTTTAATAGTAAGTAGAAGAGTGATAACCTACTACACCCTGGAAGTGGTTGCTCACCTGAAATAGCTTCCAAAATCACGAGTTAGAAATTTCAAACAATCGGCTACTTTGTTAGGTACATTAGGACTATGCGCATGTCGTTTGATCAGATTTGATTGTAGAGTTGCACAGATTCAATTTCAGTTTATTGACAGAAAATTAATAGTTTAAGTAATTTTTCATTTGATGGCTCCAGCTTCTCAAATGTAATCAATTGCTTCATTTCCTTGTCTTAATATTATAGTAAACTGAATAGTTTTGGGTTTGGGACTGTTGGTTGGACAAAACAAGACTGTTTCTGAAGTTTTATATAAACCAAATGATTTATCAAAATAAATATGTGCAGATTAGTTTATTATTAAATTAATCAATGGTTGCAGCCCTATTTAAGTGAAAGTGGCCTTTCAACATAAACAACTATTAACACAAACAACTATCATCAGATACAAATTCAAATATTGCTATATTCTGATTGGTGCTCAGTGGGGTTGTCCTCTGGTAGAGATTTGGCAATCTATGCATCTCCACCACTGGAGCTATCCCTTATCTCTGCTATATAATTGGGCAGAGACGTCAGAAAGGAGACATCGCACTGTAGAGGAATTTCCTGTATCTGTGTGGGTTTTGCCACTGCTTATGCCCTTTAGGAGACTAGCGCCAGGTCCTGAGTCTATTCATGCGAATGGGAGAAATGATATTTTGACACTAAAACGGCATTTTTCAGGCAGTCAAATCAGGACCTGTCTCTATTTCCGCGGCACACTCTCGCGACATCTGACACATATCTCTGTTGTTGCTGAACTGCCGGCCTGGTTTCACTACAGTGCTGCCAACGTTGCGTCCCTCCAGAATAAACAGAAATGTAAAAGAACTTATACATGAAACCATGAGTTAAAAGTAAAAACTGAAATTAAAGAACTGTTTCTTTGCTTAATAATACTAATATTTTTATTTAACTGGGGAGAGGCAACTGCTGGCATTTAGGAGCTAGAAAAAACTATACCATTGGCACAGTTTGTAATGCATCATCTTTGTTAAGGGTCTTAAAAGTATCAAAAACATTGAATTTAAGATTCTCAAAATAGGGCCTTAAAAGTATTGAATTTTGTTTACAAAGTATTTATTTCCGTTTATAAAGGACTCAATTTTTTTTTGTCCTTTTGTAAGATAAAATAAATACTGTAATGTTATAAATAACTCTAGAACATGTTTTGTATGATGTGTGCTAGCTGACTGGCTAAGCTAGCTTGCTTTTTAAAAACACTGAGGTCATTTGGATTTGGAATGTTCAAAAGACTATGTACAAACAACAGTAAATACTATTAAAATATGTAGAAAGCTATATATGAAAAGTGGTATAAAACAGCACTGTTATCAGTGGTGAAGTTACTGTACTAGAGCTAACAGCATAAAACTGAAGTCTCTTAAAACGTCTCTGGTAAAACGGAGATATGTCACACAACATTGTGCAACAGTCTATTATGACAGTACGCTCTTGACCGTGAAGTGTGCGCGACCGCAAATCAGTCAGTGTCAGGAAAGAAAACAAAAAACTGATTAGCTTCAGTTCAAATAGGAGCTTTTGTGACCAAAAGGCACTACGTGAGCAACAGTAGGTGGCAGTAAAGCACCTCTAAGCTGGTTTGCCAACCGCCGCAGAAGAAGAGTGACCATGCTGTTTTTATTTGTATGGAAGTTCCAAATAAAAGAATCAATTGTGATGAATTACTATTATTTTAAACCACTTCTTAATATAATTTACAAAACAATTAGTGTTGCGATGTATACTGTTACTGTGATGTAAAATAACAAATACCATGACTTATTGCCCTCTTATCATTTAAAAGGTATTTTGATCAACATTTTGATAAATATTTTTCCTCAGCTGACCAGCTTTTTCTTGAGCTTTCAACCACAGCTCCGTGTTTTCCTCGGTGGATAGAGTTTGCACTGAGCTATCTCCATGACAACTGAGCAAACCTTTTGGTGAGGAAGACCATAAAATGAGGTTGACAGTTCCAGGAAAAACCATACCTTACTACCTTAGCTCAAGATGTTTTGTGTCAAATTAACTTTGAAATGCTTGATGTTAAGTCTATTTTGAAATACACTTTATTGCTGAGATTGTTAAATATGAAGTTACCGTCAGGAGACAGATCGCTTAACTTGGTGTAAAGACAAAGTATGGGAACAGCCAGACTGGCTCTGTCCACAGGTAACAAACACGTCTTGTCTGGCAAGTAACATCTTAAACATCTTAACTGGGCAACTTTAGAGGTTCATGTAGGCACATTTTTAACCTTTCGGACAGATTTAGGGTATCCCTGCTTCAAGTCTGTATAATAAACTAAGCTAATTACACAAAATTTCCTCTACCTCTTTGTTAGCAAAGCCAACAAAAAATGTGATAGGGAGCATCATGTAGCACCTGGGAACTTGAATTTATATCTGGAGCTTCATCTGTTCAGTCGTGAGTTATATACTAACTGATCCAGACTGCTAAGCCACCAATAATTGTTGTCTTTTGACTTAGCTGGAAGCAATAACTTTGAACACCATATAATAGAAATGATCTCAGTCACTATCAGCAAATATAATCATTTTGTCCAATTTACCTAATTATGAAGAGCACACAGTTGTTGAAAAATAATTAATATTAATAGATGGCATGAATATTTATAGCTCCGTTGATAAAACACCACATATATCCAAATTCAAACTGAGAGCTGTGAGAAATCCAGCCTTTTTATCTTGTGGGTAAGTTAACATTCATAGGAAGGCGTCAGTGCAGAGAATGCTCAGGTTTTGCTGTAGGGCGTTTGGCCGGTGAATTGTGCTTTGTTGCCTGAAAGTCAAAAGGTTCAAGTTGTATTCTCCTTTTGTTTTACGATGGCACAAATGACAAGCAGTAGAGACCAGGAGCTGTTTACCACACTTTACAGTGTGACTGAATCAGAGAGCAGGCCCTCTAACGCTAATCAGCATTTTTCAGTTCTGGATGCTGTCTGTGATCTACACTGCACGGCTTAAAGACAGGGCAGCAAAATTACGTCAATAATAAACTGTGGACACTCTGAACTTGGTGTTTGAGGTTCAGGTGCAACTCTTCAATTTTTGTCTTTGTTTCTGAAGGAATAAAATAACAGACATGACATGAAGTTCGACTAAATGTTTGATAGTGATTATTCAGAAACCTTTTTGTATAGAACATGAATCATTCCTTCCTTTCTCAGGTTCTCCTGGGCCGTCCACTGATCACAGCCGAGTATCCTCTCCACTCTTTGACAGTGGCTTACATTTAAATGGAAACAACACAGTAAGAAAGCTCTACCTGATATTGCATGTCTAATGTTGAGTGTACTGTGTTTTGATTTGTCTCCCAATCAGTAACCAGATCGTTTTAGAGTTTCAAGTGTATTTCAACTGACTATGCTAAGGCGATCAGGAGTTATATGTTCAGCATTTAAGTGGGTAAAGGTCTAAAACAATATAGGAAATAAATAGCAGCATACAATATGAGGATCTTGATCTGATGGGCTAGATCCCCTTTTAAAGTCTGTTTAAAGAAAAAACTAGTATGTCAATATTGAGTGTGTACATACAGTATGATTGCTAAATTGTCACTTAAACATGGTGGTGCTTTAAGCCCATTAGGAGTCCATTAAGGTTGTTGGTGTCATTCAGATTGACAAATTATCCTCTTGCTCGAAGAGCCTGTCCTGTAGTGCCTACATAACAGAACCCTTAGACTAGCTTAACTGTAGGAGAGAGAATGTTTATTGCACTGTTAATTAAGTTCCTTATCATATTTATCTGGCATAAATATACATTACAAGACAACACAAAACTTATCTATGAGCAATTTATGTGTAAGACTCAGGTGAAACAGCCAGCATTTCCTTCTGGTTAGCTGCTGTAAATGTACCTCAGTATAGGCATGGTCATCTAGATTTAAAAAGAAATCTTTCATCTGGAACTGGATCTGCTATTGATAGACAATCACAAGATAAATGTACCAGAATCTTGTTCTCATTAATGCAAGTCTTCATGAAGCAAAATATGATCATTGTCATTCAGGCTCATTAGACCCCTTGCTGAGGTAAAGTAGGTCGGATTGATGCTGGGATTTATGTGAGGTCACAAAAGTCTATGTATAAATATATCTGATATAGGTGTGTAAGTTGTCCCGCCTTTACAGGCGCAGCAAATCGAAGTCTAAGAGTTGGGGAGATGCAAATAGACCATTTCCACAGTAGTACATTTTGGCTGGTCATAGAGGGAAGATCACATATATGATTGATAAAAATGACTGCATTCCATTTAGATGAGCCATTTCCATGGTCCTGGTATTGTGCAAGCTGGCTCACTGTGCTTTCCCTGCTATGACAAGTCAAAATTTCCGCTGTGAAAAAGGTCTATTAATTCTGTAAAGAGGTTTGATTGCGCAAAATAAGTGGGGAAACCTACGGAGGTAGAAAACAGTGTTGCCATTAACACAACTTGTTAGAGAAATATAACTTTTCCAATTCAGTAATTACATTAGTTATTTATCTCAGTATAACTCAGGACATTCAGGAGACACCTAGGTTTTGTTGAGAGTTGGAGGATGTGTGAGACCTGCGGCTTCACTGTGAGGATAGTGCTGCTAGCTTAGTGGAGCCAGTATTGCCAGCTTAGCGAGTTTGTCGCTATATTAAGCAACTTTTCAGACCTTTGCAGCTACTCTTTTTCAAAAAAGCGACTAGCGACAAATCTAGCAACTTTTTCTGGTGTTATTGGAAACTTTTGGAGAGTCTGTCGTTAAAACACGTATCGTTCTTATACTCAATGAGCAGTTGGTCCTCCTATTGGCCCCTCCCCTGTCAAAAAGCAATGTCAGCCCAGTCCTCACGCACTCAGTCAGCCAATGAGATTTCCTCATTCATCCTTTGAGACTGCAAACAAAATGTGAATGTGCAACTATGTGCAGAAGTTGTAGTTCTACACATATTTAGGGTGTTTTACTTACTTTTGTCTCTCCCATGACATTATTCCCCTCTCCTACAATGTCCATCACAATTACATGTACACGGCCAATTATGCAAATTAAGCGATGGAGTCTCTAGCCACTTTTAGGACAACCAATAGCTACTTTCCTTATTGAGGAGTTGGCAACACTGAGCAGCTTAGCCCTAGCCACAGGGAATGGTGAGTAGTATCGGCTGGCTGTTAGTTACACATTCCAGTTTGTGCTTAAAGGTTCAGTGTATAAGATTTGGTGGCATCTAGTGGTGAGATTGCGAATTGCAACCAACTGTCCAGCGTGTCACTGCCCCCTACCCTTTCAAAGAGCGTCAGACAGCTACGGTGGCTAAGACAGCAGAGAGTAGCCAGTAAAGAAATTAGGTTTCTTTAGGTAGATATATTAAGAAATTATATTTTCTTAATTATTCAGTAAAACCATATCTTATTGTGTCTTGGCCACTGACAGATAACATGGAAAATGTAAGCTAAGAGTGTGTAACGTTGTGACTGTTTCTGCACCACAGTCCATTATAAACCACATAATAGATAAAAAATAAATACTTTAATAGCAGTGCTGAAATAGATCTCAGTCATGGCAGCAATAGTTACACAGATAATCACTTCCTCTTTAGTTGTTTTGCCTACAAAATAAAAGCGCAAGAAACTTGTTTAATGTAATGCTTTACTTGGAATTAAACTGAGAGCTTTTACTTTGAAAAATTCTGAACAAAATTAAGAGCCTGTAGCCTGCTTGGCACACCTGAAAGAGCCGTCAGAAAATGTGATTCCTCTAAATGTCCTCTGCCTGGAGATACTGGGAAAATGAAAAAGCCTCCTTAGCAAATGGATGTGGATTAAACGCCAAAACACAAACACTGCAGCACATCCCATAATGTGAGCAGGAGAAACTGTCGCTTGCAGAATCCATTTGTTGAAGAGAGGGGGAAAAAAAATTAACCCAAGGTGGGATCAAACTCACAACCCTCGAGATGCAGGTCCTGCACTTTACCAACTGAGCTAACTGCACACTGTGTCAATGATCCAATATTATGTCTTATGTTGTCACCCACCATCTAATGGTTGAAAAAACTACTGAGACGCGAAACTTATTTGACGACCCTAGCTGTATATTATTACTACTACTTCTTTGAAAGTACGTATTCAACATAGTGATGAAATGTCTACACTTCCTGAATTCTAGAAGTAGAACAAGAAGCTGTAGTGACGAAATGCTGTAGAAATATGACGACGCAACATGGCGACATCCATGGGGAGGGGAGACTCCTGTTTATGTAGATAGAAATGGCTCATTCTAAGGTAATGAAAACATAATGGATTATTATGTAAGGTCTTTATACACCACTGAAAACATTGTTATGGATCTTTTATATTGCATTTCTGTCAATAGATCCTCAGAAATATTACACACTGGACCTTTAATAACAAAAGTAATAATTGGTTTTGGTGTTGAGTAATTAGCAAAGTAATGTGGTGTTGTATGGTTTTAATATGTATTTAGTAACTGACATTTTTCTAGGAACTTGCCATAATGGACAAAGAGTGTGTAAGGTCTTAACGACAGAAAACATGACCCATTCTTATTGGTGTCGGTGTGAAACACAGCTTTAGGTTAAGGACACATTTACCTAAGAAACCATTGATCCTTTTGTTGTTATTTTCTTAGGTTAATCAGTGAAGAAATTACCCATTTTCACACCCAACCTTCTTTCGTGTTGATGTCAGCAGATTCAATGAATGTCGCTGTATTTGTGACTACATTTCACGTCGCTTTGGAGGGCAGCAGGTGCAAAAATACTACCAATCAACTCTATTCATTGACTGTAGAAACTGTCTGCTTTTATCATTTAGCTAGCTCAGCAGGGCTAACCACTAGCCGAGCAGCAGCAGCACTATCAGCTGCAGCCTGATCGTCTGCCTCTCTTTGTGGACTGTGGCTCATACAAATCCACTTTGACTTTGACATTGACATGTTATTAAATGTGAAGTAATCCATAACGTCCTCTACGCATATATGCTAGGACGGTATTTGGCTGTCTAAAGTGTGGGTCCCAACCCTGATAGCTGACTGCTGTGGAGCTGGTCCACTGGCCAAGGGGGGAAAATTCAACTTATCTCAGCCAAACTCTCCTTGTTGTTCTTCCACCCTACACAGGGTGTTAGTTACATTGCTAGAGAGAATATTGGCAACTTTTGTGGATGTTATAAACCCAGCTTTGTAGACAACTCCTGTGACTGATCCATGGAAACAAGGGTAAAAACAAGTGGGTTTTTTTGTGCGAAAATTGATTCCACACTAATTGTAATTAGAAACTAACAAAAGAAATTATTGAAGGTTTAGTTGAGACGTACAGTTTTATCTGATGAAATGCAGTAGAACATGATTATTTATTATTTTGACACATAATGACAAACGCTGATTTTGACATTGATTTCAACCATGTCTCCCTCTTTTACAAAAACACAATCTATTTATATGCAGTAGATGGCTCTCAGTTATACTTCATTATATAATCATATGAACTAGTCAAAATCATGACTTTGGTTCTGTGTCATGCTGCAAAGCTGTTATTGGTTTCTTGAACTTGCTTGTATCAACGGGACAAATTCAGCAGCTAGCTTCCAAAAACATGTGGTCATCCCAGAAGAATGGCTCAGGGAGCACTCGTAATGACCAAATAAATATCTGTTAGTACAACGGTATAAGTTGCAATATCAAGCAAATTGGGATTGGCCTTGATATGGAGCTCTTCTGACCAGGCATTACATACAGTGAATATGGAGGAATGGGGGGAAAAAAAAAAAAATGCAAATGTTAATTTTTGCCCCCAAAGCCAATATTTCACCGGTTTAATGGTAAGGCTTGAGGAAATTACATATTAATATGGTAATCTATAATGTAAAGACTGCATCTCTTGCTCATCATTTCACATGAATTATTCAAAGAAAGCATGAGGGACAGCAGGTGGCCACTTTAACCTTTCATAGATAATCTAGATTTAAAGTGTTTCCATTTACATCCCTAGCAGGGGCTGGAGAAGTACTTGGTTTATGTGAGGAAAAATATAGACCCTGACACATGCCTACCTATGCAAAAACAATACACCTCTCACAATACAGTAATGTAGTAGCTTAGCTGACTTTAGAAGGGATCTTTAAATTTGATTGTCTAGTTGAAGTCTATGGGAGTGACAAAGACAATTAGTTAGGTGGTTTCCTTACCCAGAAATAAACTTAAGCAATGAAAAACACACAATAGCAAGAGTTGGCCTCCAGTAAGTTTTTGCTCGTGTC